TAAGGTTTTTGTCTAGAGTTCAAAAATCTGGATGACCACTAGATGGCAGCAAAGCAATTTTTGCAGCTCACATATGGTAGCTGTAAAACAAAAAGCTTCTCTAACTTATAATCCTTGTCAATCCCATTAATGTTCATTACTGATGCTGAAAAAGAGACTGAAAGCCTGCATATGGTATTGAAGAAGGTGCTGATTCTGGCAACATAGCTTGTATAATGCCATTATGTTAGTGACTGCCTCTTCTCTGCAAGTTTATAAATATACCAGCAGGAGATCTAGAACTACTGATGGTTATAAAGTGAAGCATCCTGTGCCCACTCAAAGCCAAAGTAAGAAAAGACAATATAACCTTATACAGTTACAATTTAAATTTTCTCTAATAGTATGCAGAACTACATGGCTTGTTCTTTGCATACATATAGGAATTTCAGGTCCTATACTCTGAGTCCCACTTAAGGAGGGACTTCTTTGTATTCTAAGACTTTCAGTTTATATAGAATGCCAAAATGTTTCCACTCACAACCAGCAACAAAAACCAGAGTGGCTGAGAGGGAAGTTTAATCCTTCACAATTCATGTTTCATGCTTCTCTAGAAGAAAACAGTAAACATAGAAATGTCTATACTACGTACTGTATATACTTTACAAGTTGTCACCTTTTCTACTGTGAAGCTAACTAAATTTGATTTGCTGATACACCTGGGTTGTGAAATTGGCTATGGAACAGAGATGCTCAAGGCAAATTAATGCTTATATCCAGGTTTATCCATAAGTAAGTTTAAATGAAGCTCTGTAACACTGTGCTGTAGAGACATAAAATAATTAAATTCATAATAATGGAATGCAGTACCAGCATGGACAATAATTTAAAAACTCAGTGCTTTTGTGCATCTTCACTGAGCATATGAAAGTGAAAAGATAAAAGATTTCTTATGCCCAGGGTTTAAGTGATTAATGCACTAAGCAAACAGACAAGAAGAACACAGTTTTTAAAAAATGAAGAACCATTCCAATTCCGCTTCAGAAAAGCTCCAGAAAGAAAAGGAGAATCAAGCTTGACTTACTTGTGTGACATTGCCTCACCCATTTTGCAATATGCATGTCCTATGTTGGGTGATTTCATATGCCCAAAACATCTAATCACACATTAAATGATGCTAGCGAGACTCATCAAACTAACAAGGAATCTCTAATATGGCTGTGCAGTATTTTGAATCCATTTAGATAGAGATCTTTCATAAGACATAGAAGTGTACACACTACCTGTTTGCAACTTATTAAAGCATCTGTACCTTTTTCCAGGATTGCCCAGCTGCATAGCATTCCCTGGTGTGTTGTTGGAGTCATTGATAATGCACAAAAGTTCACAAAAATATTAAACTGAATTTTAATTACCATTTCTGATTAATTCACAACAATAGAAGTTATTCTGATGTTTGACAGAGATAAAGATCAAAATTGTTCACTCAGCTTAGAACTGAAAGATAATTGGAGTGTTTATAGATTTCAAAAGACAACGTTCTCCATCATTTCATTTTTATGCTTTTTTTTAGCATGTGACCCCTGCGCCTACAACGTATCAGTCAATATGGATCAAAGAGCACAAGCATAAGACTGCGCACTTCCCATTCCACAGCAGCATACCCCGGTTTTCAGAGCAGGTTCGAGATAGAGAGCTCTTTCCTGGGTACTATTTTTCATTTCTTGAATTAAAAAATGTCTATTAGAAATGGAACCTGAAAAATAGAGGGAAGTCCAAGGCTAAGGAGGATGGGCAAGAAAATGCTATTATATTTGGGTTTTGTTTTGTTTTTCATTTAAGTCTTGGAAAGGATTTAACTATGCAAATTGTGTGGTTTAGTTTCTTATAAATGCATTGGAGGAACAAGGGGACTTGGGTCCAGGGGACCGTTAGCTATTATTGACATGCCTGAATGTATTCCAACTGGGGCTCCCACCTCTGTCCCAGTACTGTTGGTGAGACTCCTGTACTTACAGTTTTCCTTGGATGTATTTAGCAAGCTGTGGTAGCATAACTGCCATCCTACTGCTGTGCCACATTCTCCACTTACACTGTTCCTGGGGGCTCTTCAATTAGTCTTTTAACAAACATGAGTAACTCTCCCAAAATTTGCTTTTGAAACCAAAAACTTACAGTACTGTGCAAAAGTTTTAGGCAGGTGTGGAAAAAATGCTGTAAAGTAAGAATGCTTTCAGAAATATATATTGTAATTGTTTATGTTTATCAATTGATAAAATGCAAAGTGAGCAACAGAAGAAAAATCTAAATCCAATCAATATTTGGTGTGACTACCCTTTGGCTTCAAACCAGCATCAATTCTTACACTTGCACAAAGTCAGGAATCTTGTAGGATTTGAGTCAGGTGTATGATTTACCAATTATAC